GTGCCCTTCTCTAGAAGATTTTTTGCTTTATAAGATGACCTTTTATTCCTCTATAAGAATACCTTCTACTGTTTGAGAAGAAGACCTCTTGCTCATTTAAGGGAACCCCACCCATTCTCGATTTTAATTTTCAAGATTTTCAATGGGCTGGTAAATCAATACCAATGATTGTTAAGGTTTGTAACTTTACACATATATAATTGAAGATTTAAAATAGAAGAAAAATAATTTACAAAAAAATTTTGTTGTTTTGTTGTTGTTTTTTGTAATTAAAGAAAAGCCCTTATTTTTGATGGCGGGCATGATAACTCCTCACTGGAACATCGGAATCCGAAAATTCCAACGGTGTTAGAAGGAGTACATGTCTGGCTCTCGTATGAACTAGGATTATTGACTTCGCTCTAAAATTAACAAAATGGTGGACCTTTGAAAAAATATTTTTGGAAAATCGCCGATTTTTTTACCAAAACCCAAGTTAAAAAATGAGGAAGATCTTCACCAATTGGCTTTATCCTAGTTCATACGATAGCTATACACTCACAGAGAAACGTGTAAAAATTTGAAATCGATTGGGTTATTAGTTTTTGAGTTATCGTGCCCGCCATTCGCAAAAAAATGTTTAGAGAAAAACGCGTTTAAAGTTTGAGAAGCCCTTCAGCCGTCACTGGATGCTGACACAATAAATATATTTTCAAGAGTTCTTGAGATTTTCATTTGAAATTTTGTAGGCACATTCTATAATTAGTGTAGATTCGAATTATATCAAAAAAATTTTTGACCCCGAGAATGGGGGGGTCCCCTTAAAGGAAGACCGCCTGCACTTTTATAAGAAGACCTCTTACCTTTCTATGAGAATAACTCCTGCTCTTTTATAAGAAGGCCACCAGCTTTTCTATAAGAAAACTTCCTTCTCATCTAGGTCTTCATATAAAGAATAATACTCTTCTATGAGAATAACTCCTGCTCTGCTATAAGAAGGCCACCAGCTCTTCTATAAGAAGACCTCCTTCTCATCTTGGTCTTCTTATAGAGCATAATACTCTTCATTGAGAATAACGCCTGCTCTTCTATAATAAGGACTCCAGCTCTTCTATAAGAAGACCATCTTTTCATCTAGGTGTATAGATGTTGCTCTTTTATAACAAAACCTCTTATTCTTTCATAATTATTCCTCTTGTTCTTCTATATAAAGGAAAACCTCCAGCTTTTTATATGGGAAGAGGCTTTCAGTTAAATTGTAAGAAAACATTTCTGGTCTTATATGGAAAACACTTGTGGTCTTCTATAAGTAGACCTCATTGTCTTCAATGAGAAGACCTTTAACAGGGCCTAGTAGAGGCATTCTATGAGAACACCTTCTCCTCATCTATAAGACTTCCCGCTTTTATAAAAAAAAATATTCCTGCTCTTCTATAAGATTACCTATGCGGTCATCTATAAGAAATCATTGTTGTAATTTTTTTTGAATAAGCTATTCTGCTCTTCTAGAAGAATAATATAAGAAGATCTTGAGGTTATCTATAAGAAGTCCTTGAGGTATCCTATAAGAAGACCAGATTGGTGCTATGGATGACATAAATTTGATTTTGTCCATTCACACAGTCGGGGTAGGGGCCTTTAAAAAAGTGATATGTCAACTCTTATGTACACTCAAGGGATAGTCGAGCGTGAGCCCATTTTGAGAGTTTTGAGTATTGGCTTCCATATCATTACCATTAATTTGTGATAATTAAAAAAATCCGGATATATTCTTAACCAGCCTCTTATATTAATATTAGGTATCTGATATTTCAATTTAAGGTATTAAGCTTATCGTATGAACCTGAGTGTATCAACACATATAAAAATCTAAAGAGTAAATTTCCATGGAGTTTTCGTTCTACTGCATATTGGAGAAATATGCAGCGTGGTGAAATACGATATTTTCCTAAAAAATATTTCGGGGATCGACTGTCAATTGAGTGGAGTACTACAGACAATTAACCCACTACATGAATTCTATCGGAAAATTGGTGGTTTTTATACGTGGATTATAAGGACAAATCTAGGAGGCTTTTCTACCATCAATTATGGTCAACCCCGCAAAATATAATATCAGAAGAATTTAAAAAAGTCGTATGATTCTGTATAAGGTTTAATAAATTAATAAAATCCATTTCAAATCATTCCCTCCCAACTTCCTAAACCGCCCTCGATTTTCGATTTACCTTCAAACGAAATCATCAACAGCTGATGCCATTTACAATTATGGCAAAATGAGTGAACCGCAAAGAAAGGCAACAAAGCACAAAAAAACACACACACACACAAATTCTGGCACGACTACTATTCATTCGTTCATTTATAATGGAGTTGGGGTCATAATTGGGTATTTTTTGAAAGAAAAAAAAAAACGAAAAACATTTTTGAATGCGCGTTCTTATGTCCATGACGTTGATTTATGTTTATGCTGCATGCAGCAAACAACAGCAGCGGCAGCAGTAGTACACACGAAATATTCATAGAGCATTAGTTTTATTTTTGGCTTTATTGTTGTTGTTGCTATATCGAATGGATAGTAAAGTGAATGATTGGAGTCTAAAGCAGGCGGAAACGGAAATACCTTAACTGTTGTGCAAAAAAAATTGAAAAACGCACACCGCTCATTCCGCAGGCGAACGCGGGGATTCATCAACCTCAAGGAAATAACCAAAAATAGGGAAATAAAGATTAGTTAGTTCGTTAGAGAACAGTGGATACGTATCAATAAATTAATTATTGAATTATGAAAACCTAGTGGCTTTCCATATGGAGAACTAATAGCCTTAAATCCTGGTGGTGTTATAAATAAAGACCGAAGACCAAGATGTCTTCGATATTCCCTTCTTTAAAATCTTCACCTTTTCTAAGCGGAATCTTTCCGCTCTGCTATGTAAAGATCTTCTATGAAAAGATCATCGGCTCATTTCTGAGAAGATCTCCTTCACTTCTATGAGAATAACTTTCGTTCTTCCACGAGACGACATTATGTTCTTTTAGGAGACGACAATCAGTAAATTTTAGGGGAGTACCTTCAGATCTTCCAGGCGAAGACATTTAGTTCTAGGAGGTTCTCAGGCCTTCTATGAGAGGAACTTTTGGTCATCTGTTAAAGGAACTTCTGACCTTCTATGAGACCATCTGCTCTTCTATGAGAATACCTTTTGCTTTTCTATGAGAAGACCTTTGCTTATTCTATGAAAAGATTTTCAACTTTTCTATGAGAAGACCTTCAGAAGGCGACATTCGAAGACATTTATACGAAGAATACCATAATTTCGTCTATGATAAGTGGATCTTGCGCACTTCTTTAAAGAAAAGACCTTCAACTATGATAAAATTCCCAACTCTTCGAGCTGATCTAGAAGAAGACCTGAAGCTCTTCTAGAAGAAGACCGGGATCTCTTGTGGAAAAATACCAGGATCTCTTCTAGAAGACCTGGATCTCTGGTAGAATAAGTCCTGGATCTCTTCTAGAAAAGGACTGGATAATTTCTAGGAGAAGACCAGGATAATTTCTTTAAAGAAGCCAAAGAAGAAGACCTGGAGCTCTTCTTGAAGAAGACATGGTGACCTGGATTCTACTAGAAGAAGACCTAAAGCTCTTCCACATGATGATCTGGAGCTCTTCTAGATGATGTTCTTGAGTTCTTCTTGAAGAAGACCTTGAACTGTTCTAAATGAAGATCTTGAGTTTTTCTATAAGAAGACCTTGAGCTGTTCTAGAAGAAAATTTTGAGATCTTCTGGAGGAACAAATTAAGCACAGAGCAGTCATAGAGCACTTCAAAAGGAAAACATTGAGGCTTTGATAAGAAGCCCTTGAGATACTGTAGGAGAATATCTTGAGCTCTCCTAGGAGGATACCTTGAGCTCTTCTTGGAGAAGAAATTCAACTCTTCAAGAACAAGACCTTGCTCTCTTCTAGGAAAAAAAATCATGAGCTATTCTAGAAGAAAAATACGTTGAGTTATTCTATGTCAATAAGACCTCCAGCTCTTCTATGTCAAGAATGCTATTCTATGCACAAAAGACCTTTTGGTGAAAATCTTAACTTTTTTATGAAAAGACCTTCAACTCCTCTATGGGAATTCTTTCTGGATTTCTTTTATGATACCTTCTATGAGATGAACTTGCATGAGAGAATATGTTCTGAAGGAAGACCATCTGGTCTTATAGGAGAAATCTACCATATCTAAATCTATATCTAATAGAGGATAATAACCTTGTGGAAATGACCAATATAGGGCCAAGTTTTGCCATTTTAAGTATTATTTAGGTCCACCCAAATCGGCTCCTATTTGGTATTCGGGATTGTCAATTGGGATCAGAGTTTTTTGTGTTTTTATTATTTATAAATCTTTGTGTTGAAGAGGATCTAATTAGGTTTTTATGGTTCCCAACTGGTAGCAGAGCATCTCGCAAAGTAGGAGATGTTTTTCTATATAGGTCCCAAAAGACAACGATTCCAGGTTTCAGATAATTTCAAGACTTTTCTGTATTTGATGGAATATTTACTCACATATAAAATGTACCTTGTCCCGACTCATTTTATTAATTTTAAAGATCCTACGGTGTAAAGTAGGAAAGCCCTTTATATGTTTAATTTTACACCCTTTCAAAAAAATCACACACAATTATTTCTCCTTAGAACTACTGTACACCCCCCGACTTCAGCTACTGATGTTCATTTTTGTCGGAGTGAATAGAGTTAAACCCCTCAAAAACCTTTTGCACGCCATTTGGAAATTATTTGTAAAAAAAACAAACTCCACACAAAGTCTTTAAGCTTCTATCTAGCAGACTATCTGTGTGTCTGGTCAACTAAAACTTGTTTGGCGCACGTTTTGGTTTCCTTACATTTAAAAAGGGATTTTGCATTTTTTTCACCAGGACCACTTCATATTTGAATTTGCTTGTTTTTTTTTTGTTGCTTTTTCGCATTTCTAAAAAAACAAGAACGGCATCCACCCATAAACTTACCTGATAAAGCATGGCCGGACAAGAGCAACCATAGGCAATGCGATGCAGAATGGTTACAGCTGCTTTCAGGGATTTCGTTGGTATTTTTTCCCAATCAGTTAGAACTACAACACAGGCACGAACTATCTTTGGATTCAGCAATCTGTAAATAGAAGTAAAATACGAATACAAAAAATATGAATCCATAAATCCAGTAAGCAATGGTAAAGGTAAAGAAAATCCAAACAAATCAAAGCATGAAAAAGGTTATGGAAATTCATTCAATTGGTTATTAATCATTTTAAGTAGTCAGTGGAAAAGTCAGATTTGTTGCCAATCAAAAGAATAAAAGAAATGTGTTAAGGTGATTGTAAATTTATTACAAATGGCATGCTGTGGCCTCTTTCTATGATAAACACAAAATTTCAATTTTCAAAATGAAAAAATATTCTATGAAAATGGTTACAATCAACAGAATATGCCTTTGTGGAGGCGAAGATGTTTTGTAAACCAGTTTGAAATCAGTTTATTTATAGCGGAATGAATAGAAATGATTTGTTTTCGTATTTTGAGGAAATATTAAAGATTTTTTTATTTCTTACTCCGCAAGTCTACAAACAGCTGGACTACAAATTTACTTTAGCTCCCTCTACATCACTTTTAAGCGAACTAGGTTCCTATTAGCTCGTTTACGACTTTCATACTGACATTCCATTCCAAAAATAATTTAACATCATGTGACATACTGTGAGATAGAGTCATCCTTGGTAATTTCTATACCTTTCGATCCAGAAAAGGCTAATGTCTATACAAGAACTAGCCAAATCCCAAAAAATTTTCAAGGCTATTGCACTATGGGAACGGCATCCAATTTTATGGCAAAAAGTCAATTTCTGGTAGAAAGAAAAAACCTTACTTATTTCAAATCTGAAACGTTGACCTTTACACCAGTAAACTTTTATATCATTGAGGTCCACGGTTTACAAATCCTTACGTCATTTTAAAGTCAAATTTGCATATTTTTGTGAATATAATTTAGTGTCAGTCAAGCAATGCCATAGGATATTTTAATGATTATAGCATGAAACTACGCCTTAATATGTTCTCTGTCCAGAATGTTCCGCTATCTGGGTAGCCCCTATATAATTTGGGTTTCCTGGGGATTTTGAAAGCGTTTTTCAACCAAATTTCAGTATTTTGAATTCTTACTAGTTGTGAAATCTTGGTACCATAACTATAAAAATTGACGTACGTTTCAGGAAAGGACCTATATGGAAGGACCCACATTATTCAGCATTTTGGTGATTTCCGTCCGTCTGTTGATGTCAAATTGCAAACAAAGTACAAATTGGAAAAAAATCGGCTCAGATTTAGATATAGCTCCCATATCTATTTTCGTCCGATTTAAGGTAATTGGTGCACCAAACTCCCTGAAAATATTTTGATTTGCACGAGTTTTAGTATAGCGTACTAAATTATGTCTAGAATAGTGTGTGCAAAGTTTCGTGAAAATCGGTTCAGATTTAGGTATAGCTTCCATATATATTTTCGTTCGATTTTATGTAAATAGTGCACTAAAGTCCCTATACATTTTTTGATTTGCACGAAATTTGACATAGTGAATTGCGTCTATATTAATGTGTACGAAGTTTCATGAAAATCGGTTCAGATTTAGATATAGCTCCCATATATATTTTCGTTTGATTTTAAGTAAATGGTGCTAAAGATCCATAGCTAGGCCTATTGACAAAACGTACAGAAGTTAATATAATTTAATCTCTGACAAGTTTCCTTGAAATCGGTTCAAATATAGATATAGCATAGCTTCCATATATAATTTCGACCTATTAATGTTAATTGTATGTATGCATGCCTGATTGAGATTAAATTTTAAACCATGCAGCATATCAAATGGCGTGTGTCAAGTTTGCATTAAATCGATTTACAAAATTTAGCATAGGGTGCAGAATGTCATGTGTAGGGATTGATGTTAGTCGGTTTAGATATAGGTAAAGATCACATATTTAAGTACGTTCAATTTCATGTCAATATTCCTTCAAAAAGGCGACGTCTGTTAGGATACATATGTAGAATATACCCAAAGTGATGAAGGGTATCATATAGTCGGCCCTGTCAGACTTTACTACTTTCCTTACAAGTTTAACACTAAGTTGTGGAGATGTCTCAATCGGATTTTTCGAAAATTTCCTTGAAAGCATCAGAAAATATGTGAATCGTTCCAGTATACTTGAAAAAATTATAGCTCAAATTGTGATGAAGTGATGTAGTAACACCTGTAGATTCATCTAGCTCCTGGGCTAGAATACCCTCTTAATCCAACTAAAAACGCATATATTCTTCCGCTCCTTTTCTCTAGCGTCTATATACACTCCCTTCAGCTCGTATGGTCTCCTCACCATTTACTGCAGACTCAATTTGGCAGACTCCTTCTCAATTCGTTCAAAGTTGATGCTACTGCTCGAAATGTTCGATTCTTTATGTCGATGCCATCGGCGTAGGCGAGTAACATGTGTTGTTTGGTGAACAGAGTGCCATTTCTGCTTACCTTTGCCTCTCGTGTGACATCTTTATCATCCTGTTGGAAAAGGTCACCTTGTCTGAACCCTCGATCGGTACTGATGGTGGAATGTGTCGGATTTTTTGAAAATTTCCTTGAACGCATGAAAAATATGTGTGAATCTCTCCAGTATATTTTGGAAAATAATAGCTCCATTTTTGATGAAGTGATGTAGTAATCCCTGTAGATTCCTGTAGCTCCTGGGCTATAATACCCTCTTAATTCAACTAAAAATCCATATATTCTTCCGCTCGTTTTCTCTAGCGTTTATATACACTACCTTCAGCTCGTCTGGTCTCCTCCCCATTTACTGCCAGACCCACTTTGGCAGACTTCTCAGTTGAACATTGAAGTTGATGCTAAAACTCGCAATGTTCGACTCTTTATGTCGATGTCATCGGCGTACGTGAGTAACATGTGTTGTTTGGTGTAGAGAGTGCCATTTTTGCTCACCTTTGCCTCTCGTATGACCTTTTCCAGCTGGATGATAAAAATATCACACGAGAGGCTGTCACTTCGTTCGGTACTGATGGTGCAATGTGTCGATGTTTTTCGTGGATCTTTTCCAGATTGAAAATCTAGTCTATGGTGGATTTGCCAGGTCTGAACAATGCGGTCCAATAATATTATTGACCATTGGCTACAGTCGTTCACACAGTAGGCTGGATAGCATATCATACGCGATGGGAAATTCCTCTATAGCTGCCGTATACCGTCTTGTCTCCTTTTTGTGCACGGGACACAGGATGCTAAGGTTTGTGTTTTACTCGTTGGTAAAATTTCCGGACTTCGTTCTGACACCTGTAAATCTCGATTTCCCTCTGCTCACGTTTTTCTTGTTCTTTCTTCTTTTTCTGAAAATACGTTTTTCCTCTCTCCTTTTCTCCCGAAAAATCTCTCTTGCATTACGTGTTGCTACTGTTGCAGGGTTGCCCTATACACTGGGTTTTTTTACATCCGTAGCATTACGACACTTAGTACCAAAGTGTTGCTTTTGCAGCAGTTTGTTGCGTTTCGAAATTATTATTGGGACAAGGAGGGCTTTCGTCCAGCAAGTGGCTAATCTGAGCAGAGTAGGCTTCTGTTATCTGTGGTGTTGACAGTTTTTCGACGTCGAGTTTCCGAGTTGTGCTACTACATTAGGACGAATGCGAACCTTGGCTGCTACAAGGTAGTGGTTCGAATCGATATTCGCTCCTAGAATCGATCGAATGAATGCCTTCCGTCCATCACAGCATGTGATTTGATTTGTCGTTATTTGATCGGGAGAATTCCAGGCGTGAGTGACCATATGGTTACACTCATAAGACGATCAATAAATCATCTAAAAAAGCCTGTACCCGAGCAGTGCTAGTGTGAACATATGGTCACAGCCCAAAAATTGATCCTGTCGATTATGCTGATAAGAAAAACACACACAAATCAAATTTTTGGATTCAGTGGCCCACAACCTAGAGACGCAGAAAGTTTTGTCCCAAAATTCGAAAAAAATCATTACATCACTATTCGGGTTAATGGAGGCTGATTTTTCCTAGCAGAATTTTAATGTCATGTCAGCGGTCTTTGGTCTAATCATTTTTGTCTTCCGCCGGAGCATGGACGCAAATGAGACTGATGTAGAAGAACTTCGCTTTTAAACGGTCGTCACCATTAACGGGGTTTTAATTTTCTTTTTGTAGCTTTTTCATAGAGTGTGGACGACTAACACGACACCTCAGCCCATATTTTATAGTTATTAGGGATGATCTCGCGGTACACATAAACTATTTCAAAGGGTGTTGAAAGTAGCTACCCCAGGTGACACCGCGGCACACTGTGTCATTTGTAACATTTAGGAGGCCAAAATTGGAAAAATTTATATTCGACGATCTGCACGATTTTTTGTAATGTGATACATAGGAGTATATGTAATATAAAAATATTGCAAAAAAAATAACAAGAACAATAAGAATAAAAATAACGGCTGTCAAAAGTCTGATATGAGTGATTGTAAAATAACATGTTTTTTAGAGTAGAAAATTCTGTTAAATTGTCGCTGCTGTAAAAAATTTCTTACCGAGACTACTTATTATATTATTATTAATTCTTGATTATTGATCGGTTTTTAATGTAATTAATAATTTTTGTTGCATTATAATATATATTTGATAAAGAATTGTGTTGGTGAAAAAAGTTTCTAAAAACAAGGGACAAAATCTATAAACAAAATATTAAATATAATGCATAAAAAAGTACACCAAGGTACAGCTGAGATATTTTGCTAAAAACAATACCCGAGGATCCTAGTATCTAAATACAAAAAATTAGCTGCAACTACTTGCCCCTTTCAGTTTTACAGAAAGATTATAATGGCGATTCCGAGAAGTGAACTTTTTGTGGTTTGGCTCGAAAACAAAAATAGTGCCGTAAAATGTGCATTATTGAATTATATAACAAACCTAATTGGAAAGGACGTTGACTATCCAAGATTAAAAAAAAGTGTGGAGCTTTTGTGTTATCGTTTTAATAAAAAATGGGCCTCATCACATCGAGTTAAATCCCGTTTTTTCACGAAGGAAGCTACTTGGCTAGCTGAAAGTCAGGAT